CGAGTCGAGCGCCGTAACCACCTGGCCATGCCGGGCCGCAGAGGATGAACAAAAACTTTAAAAACTTTCTGTCTTCTACAGCCTGCAAGTGTTTGGAACACTGATCCATGCAAATGTTATTGTCTTTAAATAAATCAATCAAAACATTGCTCCAACTTCATCATCAAATTGTGTGAGTGAATGCGTTATTACTGATATATAATTTCATAAATCTACGACTTTACTGAGACAGAAAATAGTTCTGTAACTTGAATTATTAACCAATATTCTCAAATATACAATTTTATTAAAATGCTTTATTTAATGTTACAAAACTATTCCAGGTTAAACTCTGTACAAAAGTTAGCCACATAGGATTCTAAAATCTGCAAAATTTGTTAATTAATATTAAAGGAATAATAATGTTTTCTTAAAAATGCTTTCACAAATGAAAAATTGAGTTATCAAATCTTTTCAGTTAGAAAATAATAAAAGTATGGAAGAACAGGGCTAACTGGATACAAAATTACAATTAATTTTCTCATTTTATTCCCCATTCAACATGAAAATCATCTAAAATATAGAATAATTACTATATTCATTGAAAAACATGTTAAACAAATTCACATTTATTAATCATTTGATGTTCGGTTTATAAAAAATAAAATTCAAAGTCTTGTGGCCCGATTAACTGGGACCAATTGAATTAAAATCAACAAAACCTAAGACATATAAACATATTTATTTATTGTACATTGAGTTGAGCTGAACTATTATAACTCACAATAAATTGAATAACAGCAAAGAGCTGTAAATGCCCACCTATCATACAGCTATATAATGAAAAAAGGCAATTGAGAATTAAGAGAGATCATGTTAATAAGGCCTCCACTTTTTTCATGATAGATTGGGGTGGAAGTTTTAGTAAGAACATAAGCTAAAGGCTTGTGTGTCCCTCTGTCTTTTGAACCATTCTATGGTGTATCTGTCATTATATTTGTTTTTTTTTCATCTCCTTGTAATCCTTCTGGGTTTTGCTTTTAGAAATAGTTAAAGCTGAACTGGAGTGATGATCAGTGGGCCTGTAACAGACATTGGAGATGTTTCAACAATAGTTCCCACAGAAGAATGGTCTATCAGTTGACCACCTGGTGATTTCCATGCAAAGGAAGTGGATGGTAAATTTTCTGGATCCTCCTCTGTAGGAGCAGGGGCTAGTCTATCCCTTACACTTCCAGGTGAAAAAATCATCGTCAGTGAAGACAACCAGATTGACTATTCTGGATGACTAAAAACCTTGACAGATGTTTCAAGGAATAAATTTCAAAAAATTTTAAAGGGACAAAAAGGAGCTTATTAGCCCATAAAGGTTGTCCCATCCAGCTCTCAACTATAACCACTCCTTACTACTCATGTATTCATCCAATCTTTTCTTGAACTCAGTTAAATTTTCTGCCACCACCACCCTTGAAGGTAGCTCATTCCAAAAGTCAACCACCCTGTTTGAAAAGTAATACAATTTGATGGATCTATATTATCAATACCCTTAATCTTAAACACTTCAATCAAATCCCCTCTGACTCTTCTCCTCTCCAAAGAAAACAAGTTTAGAGATTTTTAGTCTCTCCTCATAGAACAATCCCACCATCCCAGGTATCGTCCTAGTGACTCTTCTCTGAACCTTCTTTAACAATTCAATGTCCTTCTTGAGGAAGGGAGCCCAAAACTGTACACAGAACTCTAAATGAGGCCTTACAAGAGATCTATACAGTGACACAACAATATCTCTTTTCTTATATTCAATATTTCTATAGATGCTAACCAAAATCCTGTTAGCCCTATTGCTAGCTACAATACACTATTTAGACGATTTTTCTTCAACCACAATATTTAATGTATTCCCATTTAAATTGTAACAATAACTTGAATTGTGAAAACCTACACGCATCACCTTACATTTTGGATACTTAAACATCATCTGCCATGTACTGGCAGAATGCATCAAATGATCTAAATCTCCCTGTAAGTCTGCAGCTTCTTTGATACGGTTAGCCACTCCAAAAACTTAATGTCATCTGCAAACTTCAAAATTTTGTTACTCATTCCAGAGTCAATATCATTAATATAAATCACAAACAGCAGAGGACCCAGCACAGAGCAATGAGGCACACTGCTTGTAACTGTGATCTAGTCAGATCTATCTACATTTATTATTACTCTCTGCTTTCTACTCTCCAGCCAATTTTCTATTCAATTTAATAACATTTCCCCCACACCCACAGATTTAATTTTTGTAACAAGGCTTTTGTGAGGCACCTTATCAAATGTTTTCTGAAAATCAAGGTAAACCAAATCCACAGTATTTCCTTCATCAACTCTTTCATTAACATCCTCAAATAATGTCAGAAGATTTGTTAAACAAGACTTTCCCTTAGAGAAACCATGTTGGCTCTTTGACACTATCTCAAACTGCTTTAAGTGACTCTACAATGCATCTTTAATAACACTCTCCAAAACTTTTCCAACAACTGAAGTAAGACTAACTGGCATATAATTGTCTATCATCTCCTTTAAATATTGGACTAACAATAGCCAGCTCTTAATACTCTTCCAATACTCAATGACCTATAAAAAAATATTAATTAGAGGTTCACAAATAAAATCTAAGTTTCTTTAAAACTCTAGGAGTAAAGTTGTCTGGTCCAGGGATTTATCAATTTTGAAGTTTCCCAACATTTCTCTTACAATTTCAGAACACAAAATGATATCATTTACATCAATATTATTTCCATACATTAAATGCTCTGGTTAAGGCATAATACTTGCATCTTCCTTTGTAAAAACTGAAGAGAACATATAACTTAATATGTTTACCATCTCATAATCTTCCAAAATCAGCTCCCCACTATCATTTTTAAGAGGCCCAATCCCCATCCTAACATTTGGCTTACCCATCACATACCTAAAGAATTCCTTATTGTTTGATTTAACTCTCTCAGCCAACCCTCTTTCATATACAGTTTTTGCCCTTTTAACTTCCTTTCTAACCAGCTCTCTTGATTTCCTATAGTGCTTCAAGTTCTTATTATTTCTAGTAAGCTTAAGTTTCTTAAATTTATTATGTTTATCCTTAATATGATCTCTTAAGCCTTTATTAAACCATACTGGCTTATTCTGCTCCATTGCCCTTTTTTTCTGTAGGGAATATGTATGTTCTCTATGCATATCAATTTTTCCCTAAATGCTTCCCACATCTGTTCAAGATCCCCTCCCAACTCTTTAGTCCAATCTACAGAAGCCAGATCACATTTCATTCCATCAAAATTTGCTTTTCTGAAATTTGGAATCAGGGTACTATTCTTCTTCAATTCTACATATAGTAAAATCTCACACCTAATAGTGCGATGGTTGCTTGTACTTATATGCTCACCAATCACAACTCTGTCTATCATATTCACACCTGATGCTAATATTAAATCTAATATAGCTTCCTCTCTTGTATGTTCCATCACCAGTTGGTGTATAATAGTATCCTGAACAATTTCCAAAAACCTATCCCCCTCACTATCAGACTCAAAATTTTCCCAATCAGTAGCCCTGAAATTAAAATCTCCCATAATAACAACATCTTTTTCAGCTACCATTCTGATCTCATTATACAATTTCTCATTAACTTTCACATTCTGACCCGGTGGTCAATGACAAATCCCAATTACAAGACTTCCCTTTATATCCACTAACACTAACCTAAACTTACTCAACCTCATTGCTACTTTCATTAATATGCTCTAACTCAACAGGATGCAATTCACACCTCACATATAAAGCTACTGCTCCCATTTTTTTTCAATACTCCATCTCTAGTAAATAATCTAGTATTTCAAGAAATTTCTCTCATCACAATTGTTCAAATCCAACCAAGTCTCAGTAATACCCGTATCAAAATCCTCAGTTTTGACAACTGCTTTGAACTCATTACTTTTATTTCTAATACTCCTAGCATTACAACAGTAACAATTAATCATAGATTTTAAAATACGTTTATGTTTTATGCCTGTTGTACATGTTTTCCTGTCAATTATATTTCCTATTTTATTAATACAATAGCCCTCATCTCTGTCTAGCCCTAATTTAAAACTACCACTACAGCTGAGTTAATATCTCTTGCTAACATGCTAGCCCCTGCCTTGTTTAAGTGTAAGCCATCCATTCCAAAAAATTTAACTTTCCCATTAACATTATCCCACAATGATGACAAAACCTTGTCGAAACGTTGTACACTTGCTGTTATGTTAAACTTATATTAAAGTTTTTCTTCATTACCCATTCAAGCCATCTCCAACCATTATTAGTCTCAAAGTGGGTTCCTCGTCATCGAATTATCCCACAAAGGCTAAGATGAAACTTTTCCAAGCAAATAATTGACATCATAAATGGTGATTGGCTGTGCTGGATGATTGCTCATTTGTATATTGCATGCACTGTTTAAATATCTTTCAATGATCCAAATACCAATACATCAAGTGCCAGCAGCATGGGAAGAATATCAAAGAATATTTTTGTTTGGCAGAATCTAAGCTGGCAATGCTTAAGTGATTTTCATGATTGTCCAACAAAACGAGCTTTGATTGTTTCTTCAGAACATCACAGAAAAGGTCACTGAACAACCATCTGTACTTAGTAAGTGCACGCACCTGCACTTTCAACTGGGGCACCTTTTAATATGTTTGGTTTAAATTGCACATGAGAAAATACTAAAAATGATGGTACAGCCATTCCTGTGGCTCCAATGATGCAGCACAAAGTCACTAGGTTCCCTTTTTTTTTGCTAAAGTTACTTGGCATACTTTCTTCTGTCCTTTAACAGCTGTCATTTTTGGCTGCTTGTGAAATTTGTAATGTTCCATAAGTCCTCAAAAATTGGAAAAGAAAGCTTCCGCATTAATTTTGTTAAAGCTAGTAGAATAGCTGAGATTTGTTTGGCCAAGAGCATATAAGAAAAAAAATGATTTTCTTACATCATAAATGATCGTAGCCACTCAACAAAAATCTTATGATTTTTTTTGCCAGCTTTTTTTAGTTGTCTTATTATTGGTAAGAGCAAACTCTTGTGCAAGATGGCAAGCTTCATTTGTCAATACATGATGAATATTAGTTGTGCACTAGAAAATACTGAATGAGCAGCTTTTCTTCATCCAGTGAAAAAAAAAACAAGATGTTCTTTGTTTAGATGAAAATTCACTTCACTAGGATCAGCAGCAGTTTTATTTAATTTTTTTTTGGAGTTCAAACATTGTAGCTTTTTTTCTAATCGAAAGTTCTTCATTAAAAATATAATCCACCACCTTCATCAAAGTTGTTTCTGAGTATGACCTGAATGTCATTGTTCTGATTCACTTATGTGGCACTTTACTTTTCCGTAACACAAAAAAGAAAAAAACATTAGGGCAGTCCTTGAATTTAATGCATATAAATAACAAATAGATACAACTTTGAAATAACATTCTCATCTGGGATAAGTGGGATGGGACATGGGATAAGGTGGACCAGCCCACCTCGCTCCAGCCATGACTGGTCCAGTGAACTCCACTGTAAACAATAACACCAAAATCTTCTTTGATTACATACAGTGAACTTTCAGTATTTATCAACATTTTGGATTTAATGAGTAAGTTTTCAAACGTATTTAATATGTATAAATATTACATGCTGAGGATGAGAAAATATTGAACTCTAACCCGTCAAATTCAAATACACAAGTATATAACTCAGACAAGTAATCTCTGATTGGCCATAATACACTGAGAGATGCGACTCCTAGTGACGATTCTAGATAGTACTAGCCAGCCAAAATTTCTCGCTTGTGGCTGGCCCATTTAACCTCTGCACCCAGTTCACCATGGTCTCCCCTATTATTTTTCATAATTTTTGTTTTTAAACAACCTTTAGTTACATAGGTACAAAGTCAATTGTACATCCAAATGTAATTTTTCTATATAATATCTGTGTAAACAGGAATTACTACAACAAAATAATTCCATACCTGAGAACTAAGACGACTACATGTTTTTTAATAGCTGGGGTACTTAGGTTACACACAGTAATTAAGGACCAGATGAGTGTGATCTGAAAGAGAAAGTAGCTATAGAATTTTTCTCTTTCATTTTGCAAAACAACATTACTTATGTTATATACTCTCAAATGGTATGATACTAGGGTCAAAATCATAAATTCTTTGCAACAAGACACTGTGTTTTATTAATATATATGCCTATATTATTTTTAATTATTTAGTTTTTACTTTTTAAATTCGACTTTTTATTTCAAAGATAATATTAAAGTTTTGATAAAAGTTTACACAAAGATATCTAACAGGAAAATGGATGGTTGTATTGAAAAGTAATTTTTTGTTTTTTGTGAAAGTAGTTTAACAGATTTAATAAACAAGTAAGTAAGCAAAACCCCATTAGCATGAGACCATGAATTTAAATCAACAACACAGCAAAAAAAGAAGATACTATTTAAGTGAAAATTAACTCAGAAAATAAATAGTTCTACCAGTCAAGTAAAATATAATGCTTTATTAATTTTACTTACCCCTCCAAGGGCTAAAATGGGGCCAATCAAAAGCCATTTCATTTCAGAAGTTGGACCAACCATGCATCTAAAAAATTGAGTTAGGCTTAATTTGTACATAATACAACTGATGGCTGATGCTTTTAGGCCTGAGCTTGAAATACGAAAGCAAGTTAACTCTATCACTTATTAAAATCTTAAAAAGATAGATCCCTGAAATTAAACAATAATAATATACGAATAGTTAAACATATCTTTAAGAAAAAAGTATTGTTTTAAAAGCTATTAATTTACAAGTAATATGATCAATTATATTGTTGTAACTTTATTCTTTCCTTAGGAAGGTTTTTTTTTAAATTATTTGGAGAAATAATATGAAATCCAGTCCAGATAACAAAAACAAATTATTTTATGTCTTCCTTAACATTTGTAAAAGCTTCCTTCACTTTTATAATGTTACAAGCAACAACAAATTTCATTATAAAATTGTTGGGATGCAAAGATGGAAAAAGATCAGAAACCAGAGAACATTTGGGATGGGAGGAAAATCAGGAATATGTAATGCTGATTTTCTTCCCATGCTCTCTAGCTTTTGGTCTTTTTCTGTCCCTACATCCCAACAATTTTAGAATAAAGTTTTTTGTTACTAGTTTCTGCACTTCTTATGAGCCAAATCTTGGCTTCCAGTGGGGCTTTAATTTCTAGGTGGAAGGCATCATTTCACCAACCTATTTAGTTCTATTCTATATGGAGCCATAATATAATCTGTAGATGTTACTTCTTAAGTCATGGCCAGGATATTATGTGATGTGGTAAGGAGTATACAATAGATAACCTACTTCCACATAATGCATATAATGGCTTACTGAGCAGAGACCTTGATTAGTACTTTGAGTTGTAACTAACCTAACATAGATCACTTACTGCTCTAGATATGAAAAGGCATATCCTAGAGAGTAGTGAAGTGTTTTGGTGTGCATGCTGGTCATAGGCACGCTGTGGTTTACGAGTTACAGCTGATGTAGTAGAAGGAGAAAATCAATGTTCTTGCAGCCTGTTTTCTAGATGTCAAGTAAGGTTATCCAAACTTTAAAAGCACTTTTGTTCTTGATTAATGAAGGGCTTTCCATCTCTATTCCTTTGGCTGGATTTTGCCAATGTCCTGGTGTACGTGCTACCATACACAATGTACAGGCTGCCATTTGTAACTGGACCCATCCCAACATAGAGATTACTACAACTCTCCCTGATACTTTGTAGGCCTAGCTTTAGAAATGACATTGAAATGGAATACCATGCTAATTATATTACGACTAATTTAAAAATAACCTTACTGGTACAGTTTCATAGCTGATCAATCAAGTAACTGAATGTAAATAACTGGCATTATACCAACTGAAAGTAAATTACTCTGATACTGTGCTTCACTGTTTTTCATATTTATTATCTATTCATCTTTGATGCTCCCTGAATTAACTAGATTCTTAAAGTCAAATTTATAACTTTATAGGTATTCTTGGGCTACTTTAACATCATATGCCTCCTAGCTAACATCTAAATTAAAACTTTTAAAAATATAGCTTATAACAATATGTTAGAAAGTTACTGTAGAGTTAAGAAATAATCTTTTTTGTTTACAAATAGCAGGTTTAGTATTCTAAAAAGTTCACTAATTATTTAATAGTTACTAACCTATAATCATAGCCATAATCAGGATAGATCCCTATAGAAACTCCTAAGATCACGCCAGGTATTCCTGTTGGTGAAAAGGATGAGAAGAATTGACATAATACTGAGAAATTACCTTTAAACTCATTTATTGAATTACTTTTATACAATTTTTTTTTCTACTAGATTATGTTATGCATATTGTTCATATCATGAGGTGATACATTAATTTGTGCACTGACATAGAAAACTGATTGATATGAACTAGTTGCAAGTTAATTGTGCTCATTGTCACTTCAAGTCAATAATATGTACTACACATCTTACCATAACCTATGGGTATATAACATTTTAGCTTTCCACCAACTGAACCATTAATAATAGCAGAGAACAGGGCATGAGCCTCAACAGCAAACCAAGAAGCAACAGCAATGTAGAAGAAGTGGATAAATCCAGAGAGTAGACGACATGCCTCCTAACAATCAAAATATATACTAGTTAATCGCAGTGCTGGTTACTATGCTGTATAGAAATAAAAGTAATTGAATGCTAATAGTAAATCAACACTGAATTCTTGTAGTTACTTTCATATAATTAACTTATTCAAACTTGAAGCCATCATAAACATGTGCTCTACTGTGTAACAAAATCAGATGTTGAACATAATGTCCTCTGGCTGATCCTTTATCTTTTCTAATTCTTAACTCAAATAACAAGAACATTCATGTATAAATTATAAATTTGCATAAATCACAAAAATATTGGTAATGAAAAAAGTAATCATTATACTTCAGCAAAATTACTTATTAATTTTCACTCTCCCTTACATATGTGTAATAATATAACTTGTGGCTTATTTGCAAATTTGATTTACCTAACATTTGAAGAAGCATAACTATACTGCTGTTTCTTATCTAAAAGTTTAAAGATCACAAGGAGATATGAAGCAAAGAACGTACCTCATCATCTCTCTTCCAATCACTAGCAAAGAATGATGCAAGAGCTCCGATTGCCATCAAAGCTGTGTTCAGCCTGATCAAGTGGAATTGTTCTTGTAAACCTCTGTGAATAAAACAACAATAATGAAATGAGACAACAATATGTGTAAAAAAATCGATGCAGTATTAGAAATTATTGTATGTAGAGTAACAAACACATTATGCTAAATATAAGTGAGTTTATACAATGGCCAGTTTACTTCAGACAGATAGACAAATATCTAAATCTGTATTGAAAATAAAAAAATTAATTTTAAGGATGTCATTCCTAAGAATAAGTAGTTGTTTGTCATCTATAAACATATACGGCTTTTCTTTTTAAAAATAACATATATACTCCACCACTAGATGGTTATCTATCTGGACAAAGATAGATAGTTCTAGAAAGCCTGAGAAAGAGCATGTTTGTGCTACTATTACAACCTTCCTTTTTTGTGATAGTTTGTGGAGCTGAAAATATCCAGCAATTAAAAAGTTTGAGAGAATCAATCCGGTTATTGTTAATCAGAATTTAGCACTTTCACTTGTCCTCAAATTATAAAGCTCTTACAAATTTTGATACAATTATGTCATAACAATGTTTTAAAACACTTTACTTTAAATACATAATAAAACAATGTAATAATTCATAAGGCTTCACCAATATATATAAGCCCGAGAATGCTATTTTAAAATACTTTCAAATTCAGAATGTTTTTACTAGTTTGAAAGTTTGATCAAATTAATTTAATAAAGTTTATGAACAAAGGATTATTATGATGCAATAGTAGTCTCACTTAAGAGATCTTGGTTTAAATTGATGGGAGACTTAAACAAGTATAAAAGATAAAAAGAGTTGGTTAAGTGGAAAATTAGGAAATTGAAAAAAACAACGATATGAAAAAATGTTTACCAAAAATGTAAAACTTTTTGGTAACGACTTCTTTAAATACATTAAAGGTAAGCAAAATTTTAGATGTGATTAGAGCCTAGCTTTTATGGATGGTACAAAAAGGTTCATATCTGATGATTATGAGATGGCTGGATTATTAAATTTTACTTTCTTTTCAATTTCTACTTATGAAATTTAAGCAATATTCCTCATCCTGAACCGTTGGAATGGAAACAAGATAATCACATTAATTCAGAGTTAATGAAGATATACAATTGGTAAGTTTAGAGGTTGATAAATCTCCTTGGCCAAATAAAATTTCAATGAGGGTTTTGAAGGAGGTTACATATTGGATATTTGTGTCACTTACTTCTATTTTTTCAAAGTCTTTGAATAGTGAGCAGGTGCCAGAAGATTGAAAGTTGGTTAGTGTTACTCCTCTTTTCAATGGAGGTGATAAAAATTGTTTTATTAGTTTTACACCAGTGATAGGAAAGGATTTTGAAAGTCTGATAAAAGATGCTTTGCTAAGTCATTTAACAAAGTTTAAAAGTTTGTTGGATAGACATGCATCATGTTTTACTAGGGAAAATTCTTCCTTACGAATATTTTGACATTCTTTGAAGAGGTTACTGTTGACGTTGATGAGGATAGATACAGGTGTGGATTTGACATATCTGGATTTTATGAAAACATTTGATAAGGTGCCACATAAAAGTTTGTTACAAAATTATTTATATAGATGTGGAGGCATATATTGGCTCACTTGATATAAAATTGGTTGGATGAGAGAAAGCAGAGAGTTGTTATAAACGGAGTTCGATAAAACTAGAATAATGTCTATGACACAGATGAAGGATGTTGCTGACTATGAGGAGGATGTTGCTGCTTCATGAAACAAGTTGGATTATTTGGCAAGTTGGGCAAATAAATGACAGAGGACTTTTAATTATAATATATGCAGGAAATGCATGTGTGGCATCATAATTTGAATTTTGTTACTAATTAAAAAAGAAAGAATCTTGGTGTTCTAGTTGATCAGTCTATTAAGTTAGCCAAGCATTGTTGCTAGTGGCAGGACAAACAGGATTTGAAGTTGTATCTAAAGAAATACTAAATACAAGTCAGAGGTTATAATTTCATTGTATATTTTATTGGCTAGGTCACATTTGGAATGTTGTGTTCAGTATTGGGTGCTTTACCTTAGGAAGAACATTGAATTACTGGATAGGGTTCATAGGAGAGCTAATAAAAGGATGATACCTACAACAGATAGGTTGTCATACGAGGACAGGTTAAGATCTCAGGAGCTGTTTATTCTTGAAGAAAGAAGAGTTAAAAGTTTACTGATTGAGGTGTTTAAGATTGTTAAGAGAACTGATTGTTGATACATCATTTTTTTCATACTTAATGGAAAGAATAGTAGGATTAGAAGACAATATAAATTCTGACAAAGTAGGAGTCATCTAAAGCTAAGACAGCTTTATTTTTCTAACAGGATAGTTGACTTTTTGAGTGGGTTGCCTTTAGATGTGATGTTTAAGTGAAGCTTTGTGCATTGTATTTTTATTTTAAAATTTAGTTAAGTGGAAGGAATAGCCAAGATGGACAAACATGTTTCTTGTTGGTCTTATACTATTATATGTAGATTGAAGAAATTAAACTGTCAAAGGCTTGAGGGTTTTCAAATATGGCACTACTAGCATATGTATGGGATTTCCTACATGGAAAATTGGGCCAAGGAATTGCAACATTGATTAACAGGAACTGATTAACCTGCAAGTTTCATGTGTCAAGATGAAGAAGAGATTTTTTATTATCTTAAAATAGGAAAAAAAACAACTTGAAAATATGGTCATGGAAGACATATTTCCAGAAAAGTATTCCCAAGGAAGTCAGAAGATTGAGTGGAGGAACAACATAAAGGATTAATTGGGATAAACTATGTTGGAAGGTAAAGTCAAGGACAAAAACATATCTACAGTTCATGGCATCATCTATCATCAACTTAAATTAACTTGACCAGAACCAATCACTCTAAACAATTAATGCAGAACAGATTGAGAGAAATTATAGAGTTTGTGTGTTTAAAGATAGCTCCTTAAACAATAGATTCACTTATTGAGTTATACCCTGAAAATTAAGCACATTTTTACTTCAAAAGGAGATGTTATAATGCAATTATAGCTTATTTGAGCTAAATAATTATAAAAACATTGATTAATGTTAGCATCTTACAAACCAAGATACTGATCAATCAAGATTCTAGTAAGCATTTTATTACAACAAATACAAGATTAACTGCTGACAAGAAGTTTAATCACAAGTAATGGTATATATATATAATAATAAAAATATTGGTAATGGTATACTGATTTGTGGGAATATTTACCTTCGAGATAGAATGGTGAATATATAAACAACAAGAAGAACTCCTGAGATACCATAAAGCACCCATTTAAGAAACTTAACCCAGTCTGACTCAGCTGGTATTGACTAAAACAAAAAAGATAGAAACTGACATATAAAAAGGATTCTGGGAGAAAAGGCATTTTTTTTAAATTTTCAAATCAATTTTTAGTTAAATCTTTTATGATAGAAACTGTCAACTTTATAAACATAAGTTGAAATCCTATTCTAAATTTATCTATAATTATTTTTCTATAGATGTGTAAGTATATATTATTATGTAACATACAAATCACACTTATGTATCAAAATTTTAAAAATAATGTTATATATAATGATGAATTGATTAATGTAACCTATTAAAACATATTGTAAACCAATTTTCAAATGTAAAAAAATAAGCTAAAGTGTTTGTAGCAAAAACATTATAATATTTCAGGTATATATTTTTCCCAAGATTATACAGATCACAAAATACTTACAAATGGTTTATGGAGTTTTGCCATGACAGCAAACTGACCCGGCCTAGTACAATGGCATTCAGTGGCCTCAGCTGTACTGTTGACTGTAAAACAGCCTTCATTGGTCCAACCTCCTTTGCTTGACTGCCTGTAAACATGCAAAAATCACCAATGAAAAACACTTGTTGTACAATATAAGATAAATAATAATCAGAGTCATCAAAATGCTCATATCACATTAATTAGTCTTTAATGAATTATTCAAACATGCAATAAGCTTCATAATTATAAAATTATTTTTCAGCTAATTTTCAAAAACCTGTTTTAAACTTTTAAGGAGACAAATATCAGTTTTCACGTGAAAGAGAAATGTAATATAGTTGGTGTATGTTACTTGACCCTCCACTCTCTGAACCTTTTTGCATTTCTCTTTTGTTTAGTAAGATAAAAAAAACTTCAGCATGGAGTAGGGTGTTATACTTCCCCCTTTTCTCTAAGGTTTACAAAAATAACATCTGTCAGCTTCCCTATCACATATTTTATTTAGGTGTTTATTTTTATAATTCAAAGTTATTTATCCAATCTGTTTTACAGTTTGTAGTATTTTCTTACTCTACAATAAGACAATTTATTGATATCTTTTTTACTGTATTAGATGCCTTTTATAAACGTTGTACATCTTTTTAAACAATGAAACTGTAGACCTTTCCACAAAAATTCTGAATATGGAATAGCCTTCTTACAGTTTTGGTATACACCCTTTTTCCTCTTATAATTTCTTCAGGATTCTCATCATTTCTATGCAGGTTGTTTCAATACAGTTAGCTAGTAGTTTAATTCTTTCAGCACAGGCTTGGTCCCTGGGACCAGCCTCGTAACCATTTTGTGCTTGTTATAGTTTTAATGCTATAACTTTCAAATTAGTAAGCATATGTTCACGAAATCTGATAGATTATCAGTAATCATTACAAGGCTTTCATACAAAAAATATAAGATTTTTTTATTAAGTCTTAAGGTTTGTTTTTCTCATGCCTTGTTTCTTTTCACACATTGCCTATCCAACATGCAAAGTAATTTTCATTTTAAGATTAAGAATATTTTTATGCATCAGAAAATTTTCAAATTTCACATGCGAAATCTTTATAGCATTCAAATACTCAGATAGCTATCAAACGTTTCTTAAGAAAAATCTTTGTATTTTATCTGTTATTTTCACTAATGAATTCTCTGTATGGGTTTGGTCAATTTGACTGATCTCGTAACTACCATAAAAAATTAGGAAATAAATATAAATTATGCTTTTTTCGTTCTAGAATGACTACAAATTATAATATGAAAACACAATGTTTAGATTAAATATCTTAAATCTTATTATATTGACCTTTCAGCTGTGCCTGGCTAACAATACAGAACTTACAATGATACTGCACATGTGCACTCATATTATCATATCCAATAATATAAAATTGACCTTTAGTATTTACAAAGTGACTTGTCTTGGCTGTGTTTTAGTAGACTAGTATTTAATAAAACACAGTCACATTTCAATTATTATACATGTATATACATTATCACTATTTACGAATAACTTTTTAAACTTATTTTTCTTAAAACATAGAACAGTAAATAAAGAAATAAAAAATTATTTCTTCTAGTCACGACCTTTGTACTTGGTTGCTAAGCCTCATAAAATTTCGCATGCGGAGGATATGAAACGAAATAATTTTTTTTAGGTTTTATATATATATACAGTTGAATAACCAAAAAATCATAACTTGCTATATCAATACCACAGAATTCCACTATAATGTATCTAGCTTAGTAACTAAGAATGTATTTTAGTCCAAAAAAATATGAAATTTTGAGCAGACTAAAGACTCACCCTAACAGCATGAAGATTTGTATCGAAAGAACAAAATGATGTCATAATATTTGAAAATGGCTGAGAAAGCCGCTAAAGGGACATTTTGAGCTTTCAATTGGTTATTCACATGTCATATATTGAAGTAAGTGTATATAAGGGACTGTTTCCAAAAGGAGGATCTTATTTTATATTGTAGTAATTGGTAATTTGAGTTCCTAATTCATACAAAACTATAGACATTGTATTTTGACAACACAAACATCTAATCTGAACCAGTGCTGCATTCAACATACCATGTGACACACAAAAATCATGGTTTATGTTTTTTTAATATTTACTTTTAAACTAAGACATCAAATATTGTATAATATTAAAATTTGAATTACAATCTACAGTTTGATAGTAAACTTATTGACATTAATGCATAAAATTGTAGTTCAATAAAATTTTGAATGCGAGTTGACAATTGTGATGACATGGCCTTTGACCCATGACCCTTGTGGAAGGGATTAACTTTTAAAAGGTACACTAACTAAACTTCATGGCTGACTTTTTTCATGTAGACAAATATTCAACAACATAAGAACATTTTAAGCTTTTTTCAAGTCATGGTTACAGTTACAATGAAAACTATAAAGATAAGTAACAAGTTTTTTATGGATTAGGAATAACTATGTGAGAATACTTTTTTTTTACTTTAGGCATCCATAACAAATAAAAACAAGATTAATATAGTATTTTGTAATATATTTTGTTATTGTAAAAGAAAACATAGTGAATTTTTCATTGTTTAAGAGGGAGATTTAAAATGTATCACATCTCTGAGTAGTTGTACAACAGCTGTCTTCTATTATATTATCTGGTCTGTCAGTAACTTAAGATCCAGCAAATTTCAACAAACTTAGATGATAAAAAATATTTCTAAGCATTCTCTGATGAAAAAAATGATATTTAAATGCAGAAATCTCCTTTGCAGAGCCGAAACCCCTAATGATGTACAGGGTCCAAAATATTCAAGGCTGAACCATAAACACATAGTTCAGTTTTGATCAAATGAGGGCACGACAGATCTTCAGCACGGAACATGTATCTGCTCCCTAAGAAGTAGAAGAGAGGACACAGAGGATTTTCAGTGCCTTTGTACACTAGACACAAAGCTGATCAATGTGTGGAATAAAATTCAGCCTACAGTCGAAGAACTTTGTCCCAGCCACCCAGGGAAGAACGACACCACCCAGGTGGAGCTCTAGATCATGATGCATTCTCCATTGGTGGCAAAAATGCATACAATTGGTTTTAGATGACATTAAATTGAAACCATTTGCTGTGGCCCACTACAAGAAGTGAATGAAGGCAGTGTGAAGCTACCAGTCAATAAACTTCATAGTAAACAACTAAGAGAATCACCAACATAGAGACTGTTTGTAACAGTAGGAAGAAGTTGTTCAGTGATAGCATTAATCTTAATACTAAACAGTATGACACTCAAGAAACAGCCTTGTGGGGCTCTAGCTTCCTGTTTGAAGGATCAGAACACTGTTGAAATCACTCAAACTTGGAACATCCTGTCATTTAAAAAACTACAAATGAAAATAGGTAAATGTCCACAGTGAGTGAGGGGAGGTTGTTTGATAAAAGGAACCAAACTATATGAACATTAATTACCCCCTCTAAAACCTTACAGAGACAGCTAGTCAAAGTAATAGGACAATAATTAGAAGGAATCTTGGGATCCTTCTCATATGAAAAATCCTCCTCCTGTCAAATATGTAGTTAAAACAAACAGACTAAGAGCAAGAGAGGCAGGAGAGAGAGGACTCAGCATCTCATAATGAATATTGTCACATCTAACTAATTTGCTGCTAGACTAATGTAGAGCAAAAGGGACAAATGGGCCAGAGATAAAAATAGTAATATGGTGAACACTCAAAAGAGAACTATACTCAGTTGATTCATATAGAAACTATGTTGTGGAATAATTATCACATTTGGCTTTGTACATGTAAAAAGAGTGTAGTTCTGTGAATTCACTAATATTTTATTTGTAATTTTTGTAATGCATGAAAGTTCTTAAACAAAAATAATTTTAGTGTCATAATTTGGTTTACTTCAAGTTTTTTCCAACAGATGTCCTTACAATTAATTATTAGCTAAAATGTAATTCATTCATGAAAATATATTCTTTAAATTGAGAAAATTATTAACTTTGAAGAAAAAAATACTAGAAAAGAAAAGTTACTTCACATATAAAACAAACATGGAGTCACAAATATAATATAGATTAATATGTAACAGATAAAACCTATAATGGTTGGAGACAGCTTGAATGGATAATGAAGAAAAACTTTAATATAAGTTTAACATAACAGCAAATGTACAATGTTTCGACAAGGTTTTGTCATCATCAATTGCTGTTATGTTGAACTTATATTAAAGTTTTTCTTCATTACCCATTCAAGCGGTCTCCAACCATTGTTAGTCTCAAAGTGGGTTCCTCGTCATCGAAGATAAAACCTATATACATAGCTGTACTGTATTGAAATACAAAATCTTTCAGAATGTAGAATATAATTTACCTATATAGTTAAGTTTCAAAATATTATATTAAAAATGTACATTAAATTACATAATATTTAAGTTTTCTACAATTTTGAAATATTAATATTTTCATCAGTTTAATTTTCTTAGATAGATAATATATAAAGCAAAAAACTTCAAAATATTCTTACTTTTTCAGACAAGCCTATTGAAACCCCTTTTGCATCACATTTAGTTATCACAGATTTAAAAATGACTACTTACCCTGGAATCTCTAAATATTCATCCCATCTCACACAGTATCTTTTTTGTATCTGGGGAAAAAAATTATAGATTTCATTTGTAATGATTCATGATAACCAGACTGGGAATCAAAATACATTTGATAGCTTTATTACAATTTAAACTTTTATAAAAATGACCATTTCAACAAGTACTAAATAGTTATAGAAATTTCATCAACTACCTTTAAATATTAAAAAAAATCTTTTTTTTAGCATAAAGCAATTAACAATTCTAGCTGCAACTAATATATTAATTTTTTTTCTGTAACTATTAGCTATACATGTAATATTCATAAATGTTTATTATGTTTCAGTTATTATTATCAAATATACAGAGGCATCAGACCCAAGAGTGCCATAGCACCCTGACTTTTACATATTTAACTGATATAGCAACTGTAAATTATATTATTATATTAAACTTCTGGGAGGTGTACCCCCAGACCCACTCTAAAGTGAGCTGCTTTTAGCAGCTCCTAGTACTTTCAATCTCTCATTGTAAAATCTGCAGGTCTAGCCAAGCACCCCACCTTGGAACTCCTTCCTACACCACTGATATATACTTATATATGCATGTGTGTGTGTGTTTATTGATATATATAGGGTTGGGCAAACGTTACTACACAGTTAGTATTATAAGGCTAGCACAATTGATATTGTTGTAAGCTGTAAAGTTATGTATTATTGGATACACAAGAGTATAAAAGAATTTTGAGATTTTTCTTTCTAGGCACTCCTTCTTCTCTAATTTATTTACCACAACTCCAAGAAGTATGAAATTCAACATAAATTACTCATAATTTTGTCAAACCCAATCCAGACTCCTAAGGCAAAGGTCGTTCTAACAATAAGAGATTTGTAGTGTTTGATCAAGAAGTTTGTGAGAAAAATTCTGGATACACAGAAGTAAGTAATTGACTAAGTAATTCAAGAGAAAATAGATGGGCAGACAAATGGATTCAAACGTATTATTATTGTTATTATAGATGTTATAATTTAGTCGTTTGCTAAAGGGAGTTACTAATCATGATGATGATGATGGAATATTAAAAAGGTATCATGATAATGTAATAATTGAGTTGATTTGTGTAAATTGTAATATGTTGTTTGTTGTTAAGCACAAAGCTACATAATAGGCTGCCTGTGCTGTGCCCACCATCAGTATCGAAATATAATTTTTAGTAGTGCGAGTCCGGATATATGTGGCTGAGCAACTAGGCCCAAAATAATTAATATGTTGAATCAAAGCAAGGATGCATTTTAAATATGACAATCATTGCAGTGAGTTAATAAGAAGTTACTGAGTAATGAACAAGTTCATTGTCAGTGTTATTCACTAGTATTGGCAGTGAGATTTATGACTCTGTTTAGTTAGAGTAAACCAAAACAAATGATAAACAAGGATATCCTGTTACTAGTGTTAGCTTTGTATTTGTAAGTTAGGCATAGTATTATTAGTAACCATCAGTCTCATAATTTCTGCTGCAACGTTGTGAACTAAGGCCTACAAGTTCTGTCAAAGTGAGTGTAGCCTGTAGAAATGTCATAGGAAAAATAAACTAATTCGTTATCATTACATGGACTGGAATTGATATTATTTTTACCAAAAAAGTCCAAAAGAACCCAGTGAGCTTACCTATCTGATGGATCTTTGATTTTAGCCATAATAAGTTTTGTTTTTGACATTGTCTTCTTTGTTTGAGTAGGACAGATATGTTAAATTACCTACATTACTTAATGGCTTAGTGTTTAGTTGTGACCTATACTGATAATATCTGAACACAACAGGTGGTTTGTAAACTTAAGCTTTTAAATGAAATGATGATAGCTGTGTCCAAACACCAACTTAACACAAAATTTCATCGCATTTGTGAAGAAGATACAAATCTACACTGCTATGCATAGAGGATTGAGTGCATATGTTGAATATATAAATCAGCAAGTCAAGTGACAACTAAAACCAGTATGAAATTACAATGGAATAACATATATATCAGAACTTCATTTAAATATTGTCCATATTTTGTAGATAGTGTGGTGCCACCAAAGTCATACACTCAGATCAGAGAATTAAAATTTCTAAGATGAGGTTATAATGTCATTAAAAAACAAGGAATGTGGATTAATTTGGAGCACCAGGATCACCCAGAAAGAGACTTGCAACAAGTGGTATCCCCAGTTGTACATAGTAAGCAAAGTGCAGCATCTTGTAATAGATGAGAACCCATAAACAAAACAGTCAGTAGCAAAAACATCCATGTGTCTCAAACAAAATAATCAAGAAGTATCTACAGCTGGAAAAGCAAGACAAGTTACATGTCTACAAGCTACTTCCATGACATATCCATTCAAGTAAGAGGGTGAAACAGGTTTTAGTGCTATTCTATAAGAAAACATATCCATAGGCACTGTAGCTAGTGATGTATAATTGACCTGTTAAGTTAGCACTGGTAAATATTTGCAAAGAGGAATGGTGTACTTTAAACAGGACAGCCTTATGACAGAGCCTTTTGCAATGAACACTATGCTTCAGGGCTATTGAAAGATGCACTGTCAGATAGAGCATGGGTAGACATGGTGACATGGATTCTAATGACGTGGTGAGGCTCCATAAACATTTTAATACTATCTACTCAATCAGTGAAAATACATTTAACATTAATAAAATTTTCCCTTAACAGTATTGGCATTATTTTTTTCTTAACATACAAACTACAGTTATTGCATTTTTAATAGATCATCATCACAGATTGACCCTTTTGTTTTTCATGTAATGTATTATATTTGTCCGAGTATTTCAAAAAATAAAATCAGTTAATAGCCACAACTTGGAACAAGATGTTATCTAAATAGATATATACTTTTTTAAAGATGAGAAAAATATCTCAAGGTATCTATGATGTTTTCATTGTTTCAACTAAATAATCAATCAAAATAAAATTTTGAATTTTTCATTATTACCTCTCCATTTTTCATGAGATATGTATCAGCCAGCAATTTTCTTCCAGTACTACGTCTCTGTTTAAAAGTCAATAATAAATAAACAAAGAGAATATACACCAAATAAACAATAGATGAATAGTAAATATACTTATCTCCTATAAATATCTCTTGATAAAATGCATTAATACTTTCACTGGAATAGTAAAAATGATAGTTTGTTTTTTGTTGTTGTTATTGGACTGATATACAAAACACGATTATGAATATTATGAGTTAGAAAAAACTATTTGAGTACATTAATGATAATCAGTGCTTGAAGTGAGTGTAAGAGAAAGTGGGATGGTTTGTGAAATTCTTGAATTTGAAAAATAAAATAAAAGAGCCTAATTGATTTGTGTATAATTTTAAATTAGGCCAACAATAGTCACTCTGGATTTGATAGTTCTTAACTAAATTTATAATAATTGTATAATCAGACTTTTTACTATAGTGACAGAACCAAAAGTTCATTAAACATGTAGCTTGTTGTTTCTTAATCATGGCTTAAAAATTTTAAGTGGAAGACCAACAAATAACAGATAAAACATTATGTTTTCTGAAAAAAAAGTTTGGTATGTATTTAGCAAGTTTTAGAATTATGAAAATAAAATTTGACAATTTTCAGATGAAGAGATATATTTTTTATATTAACATGAAAACCACATTGCACTTGGAACAGTCAACACTCCAAATATTTAATGACAAATTTTTGGTAAAAATATTTATTTAAAAAAATCTGACTTTCCGTGTAAAAAGGACTTGTATTATTTACTGAAAGCGTGCCAAAATTTAAGATACATATACAATATTAATAGTTGTAGTATGGAATCTCTGACAGTCACTTTGTGGTTATGAATTTGGTCACATAGACCAAGCCTGTAGTGACTGACTAAAAACACTTCTAAAATTTTAATGAATTTTTTTCTTTAATTGATAACATAAAACTATTGTTATCAATGGTTATCATTAAATTATACTTCTTATAATTCAAATAATTAATAAATTATACAGATCCACAAACAATAGATAAATACACTTTAGGCGAATATTATGAGGCAAACTTTAACAATATAAAAGAATCCATTATACTTGTCATACGATGATACTATGATATATATTATATTTTTAAACACTAAAATACTGTTTATATAAATCATATGTTTAATATAGTGTGGTTGGAACACTATTATTTTACACTCTTCTAATTCTTGAAAATCTCTAAGGGACTAAATAAAGAATGTAGTGTTTAAAAACATAATAGTTTGTTCTATGAAATGAAAAAAAGACCTTATAGTTATGTTCCAGGTGGCATTTAAGAGGTGATTTTTGTAAAGCTGTATCACTGTGTGGTGGGTCAACACTGAAGGATAGTATTCGACTATCAAGTAAAACCAGTGATGGATCAGCACCCCTAAAAGTGATTTAAAAGATCATTAGCAATTAATATGATGCTAGAAAGTGGACAAAAACCAAAAATATAATTGTGAAAAATATAAATTAGAAATGTTAAAACTTTATCCTCATTATACTATTACACTGCATGGTGACAAAAATGAATGAGTTAGCAACTTATTTCTCACATTTTCAAAAATAGTTTTAAAACAGATTCATGCAAAAGGTGTAGTGGTGAGATTAACTTTATTAGTTATTGTTTGAGTTAATACACTTAGTTATTCCAGTTTAAACTGTATTATACAATACTATTGCATACAATTTTTTAAATAGAAAATATACCAATGAAACTTCTAATATCAACTTTCAGCAAATAAAGAACACAATTCAGATAAATAAATCATATTATCATTGTAATACTATGTAACCATTCAACTTAATACCATGAAATCTCTAGGATTCACTTTAAGTTAAAAGGTGAACTGGAAGTAATAAAGGAATTTATTTATGACATCAGAATGGAGTTTGGACTTGAAAAGTGTGCAAAAGGTACATTTTAATAAAGAAAGCTGAAAAAAAAAAGAAACCAATGAACCTAACAACAATTTTAAAATTCAAAAACTAGGACAAGGACAAACATACAGGTACCTTGGAACAGCTGAAAGTTATTAGTAATGGAACTATTGATATTACTTACGTTATCTTATTTGGGAGAGGAGCAATTTTATGATAGTTTTTATGTTGTGTAAACAGTAGATGAACTTCTTTTCCTATGACAATGAAATAAAAACATTAGTATTTTACGGTAAGTAAAAATTCAATAAAGTTGCAAAGTCAACTTTTATCGAATATAATTATCCTGCAAACTAGTTCAAACTAATCTTTTTCAAACACATATTTACAATGCACAAAATTTAACAATAATCTTTATATGTTTTGAAGCATTAAAATATTCTAACTCAGCTAACAAATGAGTGTCATTCCTAATTATTTGTAACAAACTCAATACCCTTACCATGCTTTACTAACTACAGAACTGTTCAATGTCACGATATAAAAGACTGTCATTGATTAGTTGTGTTTTATGATCATTGTAATATTTTGTTTTTGTTTAGTTTATGATGATGTATCTTGCGTTTGTGACTCATTATTGCCAAGAGTGTAGAGTGGCATGTGGGAACTGATAGTGAAGAGGTGGTGGCAAACCGACGATGGGACAAATGGTATAAAGTGGGTCAGCAGAGCAAAAAGAGAGAAGATTGCTGCAAAGCTACAGACAAGGCAAAGTTTATGTCTATGCTGAGGTATTTGTGTGTATTTAGTTCAGAATATTTATGTAGATATTCAAACAAGAGTATTGCATGCTGTTCATTCATCATTACGTTTGCCGTCAACAAGTCACAGACACCTACTATAGAAGAATCCACAAAAACAAAACCTGACAATTTGGCATCTGCAACAGGTTCATACAGTGGTAAACGGCGGTAAAATAAAACGTAAACACCAGCGGAAAAAAAGGAGGCCTATCTATGCATAACTGTAGTAGTATTGCATATAGTGTGGAAATTACAATCACACTATATAACCATGTTAACTTTTAATAACTTGATAGAAATTGGAGAACGTCTCTGGTTAAAAGACAGTGAGTTACGAGAATTTGTCAAACAACAACAAGAACTAGAGAGAGAAGAACAGCAACATAAAAGACAAATTAAGAAAGAAGAAAAGGAATGAGAGAAAAGAAAAAAGAATAATACAAACTGAAAGAGAAGAGAGAGGAAAGACTAGAAATAGAGAGAATAAGAGCACCAATTGAGATTGCAAAACTTGCCCAACCAAAGGAAGAAGGACCCAAGAATGACAAGTGAGTCAGAGCCAGCCAACCCAAGCTACCCAAATTTGATGAACATCAATATGACATGGATGATTTTCCTGGAGAGATATGAAAGATTTGCCCAAAGTCAGAACTGGGACAAAGGCAACTGGACCATTTGTCTCAGCCTACTTCTCACAGGAAAAAAACCTTTGAGTATATGTAGGCATGATATCAGAATTTGCCATGGATTATGATAAATTAAAAGTAGTTTTAGTGAAATGATATGAACTTACTGAAGAAGGTTTTCATCAGAAGTTCAGAGGAGTCAAACTGAACACTGGAGAAACTGTATTTCAGTTTGTGACACGTCTGCAGCAATATTTCACCAGAAGGACTGACATGGCCAGGTGTGAAAATAGTTTTACAGGATTGACAGACTTATTAGTGCGAGAACAGTTCACGATCATGTGCTCAAACGACATGTCACTGTTCTTAAAGGAGAGAGAGCACCAAAAGACGTAGGTGAGATGAGCCAGCTGGCAGAAGCCCATGGAGGTAGTATAACTGGCAAGTCCAAGAATGGCCAGCGAAATGTGAAACCAGTAATGGCTGACAAGTAGGAGAAGCTTACCAAAGGTGACAGAAGGCTAATAGACAGAAGGGAGAAGAGATGCTGTTTATTATAAAACTGGACACATTGCCAAGGAGTGCAAGTCCAGTGCCAGCAAACAACAGATGAAACCTCACTATAAAGCAGCTGGAGCTATTTACAAAGACATTGCTGATAAGAAACAAAACATGAGTGGCTGTTATTATGGATGTTGCTGCCAGAAGAAAGAGAATCAAGGCTACTCCTCAGATTCAATACAAGAGAGAATGATTGATCAGTGCATGCCTAATGGTTGGCTCAAAATAGCAAACTGATGAAGAGTGCCAACTGTGAAAGGTACATGTGACAAATATCAAGAGGTGCCAACAAATCATAACGTGCCAATATGTGAAGGCTATGTGGGGGACAAGAAAGTATAGCAATGGTACAGCAATGAGAACTAGTCTAATATCTGATGATCAGATGACAGATAAGGTATGGCTGTGTGTGCTAATCAATGGGACATTGAGAAAGTTCCCCATAGCAAAAATAAAGGTGAATACTCCATATTATGTAAAAGACCTTGAGGCCATGTGTATCAAGGAACCAATACATGACATGGTAATAAGAAGTACACCAGGTAGTAGAAATCTGGATGAGCTAAACAGAAAGAAGCTTGATGAAGCATCTGCTGTCACAAACAGAGCTCAAGAAAAGAAGAGTAAACCTAGATGTCGAGCTCTGCAAGCGTCAAAAGGAGATATCCTGAAATTAGGTTTGCAGAAACTAAAGGAAGCACAGAAGAAAGACCCTCCACTGCAGAAACTTTGGGAAAATGCCCAGGAGAAAGTCTAGCACCAGACAAAAGGTAAAAAATTCATATAGATTAGAAGAATGGAAGGGAATTCTATACCAAATCTATCAAAGCAGTTATACTGGGGAAGTGAAACAGATCATAGTACCAACAGAATACCAAACTTAGCGATGAAGTTGGCTCATGAATCAATTGTGAGAGGACACCTAGGAACAAAGAAAACAGCAGACAGAATTACCAGTAACTTTCACTAGCCAGGAGTCATAGGAGATGTGAGTAGATTCTGCAGATTGTGTGACATCTGCCAAAGAACAATACCAAAAGGAAAGGTAGCCAAGGTGCCATTAGGGATGATGCCTCTCAGTAGAGTAGCTGTGGACTTGATCAGACCACTAATGCCTGTATCTGATAACGGCAAGTGGTATGTACTTACATAGTCAACTATGCAACATGTTATCCAGAAGCAATAGCACTGGCAAAGATAGAGACAGAAAGAGTAATAGAAGCCCTTCTGGACATATTTTGCAGAGTAAGCTTACCAAGAGAAATCCTCAGTGACAGAGGAACCCAGTTTACCTCAGAACTGATGCAGGAAGTGTGTAGACTCATCAGTACTAGGCAACTCTTTACCACTCCATATAATACTAAAAGTAATGAACTTTGTAAGAGAGTAAATGGAGTTTTAAAGAGCATGCTAAGGAAGATGTGCCAAGAGAGACCACGTGATTGGGATAGGTACCTACACAGGCAGTATTATTTGTTTATTAAGTGGAGGCAATGCTGGAAGTTGGAATCATCGAGCTGTCAAATTCAGCTTACTGTTCACCAGTTGTAATCATGAAGAAGGAGGATAGATCAAACCATTTCTGCATAGACTTTTGGAAGCTGAATCTCATGACAAAGTTTGACTCAGAACCTATGGGCAAACCAGAGGCCATCATGGCAAAACTAGATGGAGCCAAGTTCATTTCAAAAATCGGCCTCAGTAAAGATTATTGGCAAATCCCAATAGAAACAGAATCTAAAGAGTGACACCAGATAGATGTTACCAATTTAAGCGAATGCCATTTGGATTAGTGAATTCAGTGGCAAATTCAACTGCATGATGGGAGGAATGCTGTGCAACTCCAACACAGAGTACAATGTGGATAGTGTTTTGACATGCACAGCAAGATGGGAAGACCATCTAAAGATACTTAAACAGCTGTTCCTGTGAGTGAGGAAGCAGGCCTCACCATCAGACCATCCAAGTGCTATATCAGATATTCTGTGATAGAGTTTGTTGGAAATATAGTTGGGAACTGATAGATAGCCATGAAAGAGAAAAAGACAATCTGCATACAAGATACACCAGCTCCAACAACTAAGCAGCAAGTCAAATCCTTCCTGTAGTTAGCAGGATACTACAAGAAATTCAACCAAAATTATGCTGTAGTTATTGTACCAATGACTGACCTGACCAAGAAAGCTTACCCAAAAAGGTGAAGTGGGAACAACCACACCAGGTGGCATTCCAGAAACTAAAGAACATGTTAGGAAGCTCACCAATCCTTAGTATGCCAGATTTTAACAAACCTTTCATTGTCCAGGCTGATACTTCAGACATTGGAATTGGGTCAGTACTCTTACAGGAACATGAAGATGGACTGTTTCCAGTGACATGCATAAGTGAAAAGCTGTCCAATAGTGAGAAGAATTATTCTGTAATTGAACGAGAGTATCTGGCCATCATATTTGCTATTCCGAAGTTTCAGAACTATCTATATGGTAAGGAGTTCATCAACCACTTGCAAAGGATTATGAGGTAGGCACTGTACCTTCAGAACTACAGGTTCTGCATAGAAGCTATCAAAAGACTGCAAATGTTGGAGCAGACTGTGCATGTGAAAGAAGAAATCTTTGTATATTGTGTAAAAGAAAATATTGTAATTATTTATCCTAAAGAAGGATTTATGTCATGAGATAAAATTCTGTGAATTATTGTATTTGTTTATTTTGAATTAACAATAATATTGATTTTCATCATTATGTTCATGTATGCATTACAAAGTTTGAGGGGAAAACATCAATATATATATATATATATATATATTTGTTTAACATTCACTGTTTTCACAATGATTCTATTCAGTAGTTGTTAAATTTCGGTTTGATTTTCAAAGTTGTCCTATTTATACAAATATAAAATACATCATAGAAGTAATATATTTCTATCAAATTACAAATACAATATTTAAGACATAAATATATATATCTTTAACTAGTTTTGTATATACAGTGTATCATTTCATCACAAGAAAACTATTTTGTAAAAACAGTTTATTAAATAAAAAATGTATATTGTGTAATTACTTTGTGAATATAAAGTAAAAACTTATTTTATAAAACTTACTTGTAAAAATACAAGTAAAAACTTACCCATGTCTAAATTACCACATACATCAACAGGAACACTCAAGTAATCTTCATGGTCATCCCAATTTTCTTTTACTTTATCCCAAGAATCACTAGAATCTGGGAATTGAAAATAATGCTCTGCTTCATCCACTAACTGCATTAGTTGCTTATAATTGGATTTTCTGGATGCTGTGACTGTAATTAACAGAAAAGAAAACATATTATCAAATCATATTTGAATGGTTTGTAAAAATGATTGACATGCCCCTTTAATCATTTTGTTTCAGACTTTGTTTGATAATGCATATGTAGATAGTGTATTATTTGCCATTTTTTGCTGTTGCTGATTTTAAACATCACGATGTTATTGTGTGTATTCTGTTTACAATTATGAGCTAAAATGGCAATTATATGAGATTAATAATAGCTTGGAAACACTCATAGTTAAAGTTGCTTTTGCCAGGGCTTAAATTATAATTATTTTAATACTTAACACAAAAAACAATAATTGCAATAAACATTTAGGTAGTTTAAGTATTTTATAGACTGAGGAAAAATCTAAAGTTATATTCAAACATTCTCAATTCACTATTTGTAAAAGTAGCTTCTCGTCTAAATAGGGGAATATGAGATGGATTGTAGAATATAACTAGACATTCCATTTTAAATCTAATTTGAAAACTGCCATATAAAGACTTGACAACTCCTATAACTTCAGATATGTGGTAAATATTAATTCACTTATCAGACATGGCATAGACAGAAGGTAAATTGAACATCTGACACCTATGGTTAAGGTCTAATGATCTTGAGATCGATACACAAAAAAAATTATTTTTTTCCTGTTTTTGAAGCCTTACTATGAGAAAATACAATATAATTATTGTGTACCTGACTAATTTTGGACTTGCATCTACAAAGGTTCAGTGCCACTAATCTTAGACTGAGATCTAACAAGGTCCAATAATATTCATGCAGGACTACTTATAACCAACAGTGGTTGGTTAGTTTAGTTAAGTACAAAAGTATCCATAAAACACAGTATCTGGGAATGGTACCCAAAAAATAAATCAAATGCAACAATAAAGGAAAGAAACAAACAAAATCTTTATTCACAATGAATAATGTGTTGTCAAGTATAGTGACATATACACTGTTGGATTCTGGTATATCACACTTTAATGTTTTATTTAATTTTGATAGTAATTTTTTTTGTCCCATCTAGATGTATATAAAATTCTTTGCCTTTGTAGAAAGGCTCCACTCATCCAAAGCAGCCAATTCAGTTAAAGTCACAACAGAAGTTAGAGGTCAGCCAATATTATAAGTGAAACAACTATTCTAGTTATGGATGGATTAAATTCATGACTATTTCAGTCATTACATAACTACACTAATACTGGAGAGATCCAAGAAGATCCAGTAAGCTTAATCCTTGTACAAGACATAGCAAATTGCTCTTTTGCTATTTTAAGATTGAGATCTAGTAATGTTCAATAACACTAATCTTGGAAAGAAATCAATCAAAACTAACCATATTAAATTGAAATCTAACAATTTGAGGTAGCGAATTCTACTTTTATTTTATGGTTTTGTATACCATTCATTTATTATTCCTTCTATCATTTAGTTTAACAATGAATTTTTGGGTATATTAAAATGCTAATTCACCTTCTGTCTAGAGCTCATTGATTTTGATTATGTGTGTATTATGAAACTGACAAGCTCCTATATAGGTGACATACAGATATTAATGTTGTGACAGATTATGTAGATTTATGGTAATAGCTAGTCACATGTCATGTAACCTTGTGGTCTAACCAGTAAGTAAAAAGCTTTCCTTGATCTTGAAAACGATATAGTTCATGATATATATAGTTAGAAAGAATTATTGTTCATTATTGCTCAGTACTGTTCTTAATATTGTGAAGTGGATTAATTTTGGAACATTGTGTTATTCTCTGGTGAATTAGGTTTTTCTTCTTCTGGTTCTATTTTCCTAAATACTTTGATATTTATTGAAATTAATAACATTGAGATTTATGTTTTATTGTTTATTAACTTTTGTGCCTAGTTCTGCCAAGCATCAGTTTATTAGTTAATTTTTGGAACTCATAAAGTTCGTTTTCTTGTTGTTTGAAAGTTTTATTTTGGACTTCTCTTGTTACATTTTTACATCTCATCAGACATACTGTTTATCTATTGCTTCTTCTTCTTCCACACACTTTTCATTGACTGTCAAATCTCAGTGAAGTGACTTGAATCTCTGTAGGATTATACCTTTTTAATGTTTTTGATTTAGGTCTTTTTAAGGATCTTATTAGGTCAAAGGTCAAACAACCCAAAAATGTATATTTTGGGCTCCTGTGCAGTCATATTTACAGCAATCAAGATAAAAATTAGCACAATTATAAATTTTCATGTGCCCAAAACAATGACATACAAAAAAAGTTGGATTTACCAACTGAGTCTTTTTTTTTGGGGGGTCAGAGCTCAAAAAAGGTACACTTTTGGGGTTTTTGGTTAATTACTTTGCCAAATTTTGACCAATTTACATAATACTTTTATACAGCCCTCACACATTAACAATCAAAACTGTTGGATTTGCCCATTTTTAGTAGCTATAGTGGAGTAGGTCAAGATGCCACAAAGAGCATAAATTCAAGGCTTTTTTGACAATTACTCTGCCGTAGGTTGGGCAATTTACATGGGATTTGATATAAAGATACTTTCTTGCAGGTCCAAAGCAGTCATATAGACAGTTTTTGATTTTTCTGCTTTTTCACGATTTTTCTGGTGTCAAAATTGGCCATGTTGGGATTGCATGTCAGAGACATGTTGCATTTGCTTGTGAATGTTGGCTTATTTAATAATAAATTATTTTCGTTTGACCCTGGTTGTAGATGCATTTGGTTTAGGCCATTACACAAGATAAGTTTTGGATATATTAGCATAATCATGAGCTCCTAAAATTTATACAATAATTATTATAAAAAATAAAATAATAAGGAGAGTCACTATACATTATTAATCTAGGTGAGAGTTCACTTTGAGTAAACCATAAAACGTAATATCTAGATACATATTTACAATTATTTTAATGAAATGGAAAATGTTTCTTTTTCATCCTCAGGTACACTACTTGTGTGCATTTGCTTATTAACAGATTTTGAATGGATTTTCTTGAAGACTCTTAGTGATTTTCCCATAACTTTCAATTCCTTGTTATGCTATTTTAACAGATCTAGTTTAATTCAGTTACAGTAATCTTATACTAAAATCCTATAAGACTAGTCTTGGATATACATTTAAGAAAAGAATGAAGCACATTATCATGATGTTAAAACTAACAGCACAGATAGTCTTGGCTGCCATATTCTGGCTCACTTCTTTTACTAAATAAAATATCCCATGGATAATGACTTCAGGCACATCACTGTAATAAGCCAACTAAAAAGATTGTTGAAACAAACATAGTCACTCAAGTTAGGACCGTTTGTTTCTGCTTAACAAGCTTTTTTAATCAATTGTTTTTTGTTTGACCTTGGTTGTATAGGCATTTTGTTAAGTTTGTTACAACACAATAAATTTTGGATGGATTAGCATAACCAGAGGTTCCTAAAATTTTTACAATAAATATAATAATGAATAAAATAATAAGGAGAGTCACTATACATTGTTAAATTTTTCACACTGCAGATAAAATTATATTTCAGATGAATAAATTACTGCACACAGCTTAATCTAATTAGCTGTACAGTGGCAGACAAAAGACAGACCTGAAATGCTATATTTAGATGCCTTTTACTTGAAACCCACAATAAACTAATTAACAGAAATGTGAAAAAACCCATCTACAATCACATATGATATTCTATTATGTATTGCTTTCTGTTACTTTATCAGCTTTCAGCATTTAACACAACTAACAATGGTTAGTTACTCTTAACATCTGATTACAATCTTACCAAGTCTAATCACAATAATTCCGGACTGACATCAAAACATTTTGTCCCACTAATTTTGGACTTAGATATAGCAAGGTCCATGTAACAACAACTACTTAAAAGAAAAATATATTACAGGTCGCACAACTCTGCAACTAATACCTACTGAAATCAATTTCCCTGATCATGAATTAAGGTATATAAAAATTTAACTCTTCACTGAAATGTAAGAAGAGTGAATGCCAGGAATAAACCAATTTTAAATCACAAGATCTAATACTAATTATTGCAAACTGATAATAAATCATTTTTAAATAACTTATCAGAGTGCCCAAAAATAAAGTTAAGTTACAAATACGTTTTGGAGCATGAGTAAAACAACCACAGCAAAATGTATCTCCTTTTTGCAGATACAAATGCTTTCTGTGTATTAAAAAAGATATTACTCTCTTTCTATATGTACTTGGAAATTTTGAAACATATTTCAGAATCCTTCATAAAAAATTACACCTATACAGTTATTTATTTTGTTGGCTCAAAGTATTCTTATTTCTCTATAATAAAAAGAAACAGAAGGTTTACCTACCCAAGTTATCAGAGGTGGCTATTACATCAATAACATCTCTTTCATATGTTGTTTGTCGAATTTTGTCTAAAGCCCATTTATTGTACATTTCGACTAATGCTTGAATGTTTTGTTTATCCTAGAATGCAGAAAAAGTTACAATGCAGTATCTTTACATTTTAAGTAAACAATACAGATATACAATTTTTTCACTCAAAAATGTAGCAACAGACAATGTTAGACTCAATGGTGAATGGTGTCTGCCCACTTTTTTGATTGTTTTAAGTATATGTCATCTACTCACAAATTTTGATATGGAAACACCATTTTCTTCACACTCCTATCTGTGATGTTGTTTACATTTAACAGTAGTTTCAAGAAGGAGGTTTAAATTTGTGCATTGGGTAACCATATACAGTCCATTTATAGAAAGAAACACAGTAAAGGCTTACTGGTTAGGGGAAACAAAAGAAAAGTGCTAAGCCAAAGTATTGATGTCTCTAGAACAAATAAACACAATGCACAGAAGCACAATGTGGCTAAATGTTTGAATTATATTTATGATGCAATATATTTAAAATGTCACAAATGCTTACTTAAGTATAGGAGTCATGGAAAGTTAAATATTAAGAAAGTTAATATTTTCCTAAACTGAAAATGTATTTCCAAATAGATACTTACCTCCTTTTACAAATAGCATTCTCTATTGCTACTGCCCTCTATTGGCACAAACATTTTGCTTGCCACTATCCTTGTAACTCTAACTTCTTCCTGTATATCTACATGCAAATGATCATATAGCAACCCTCCACCAATAGGAGTGAAAACCCAACAGAGAGTTAAGTACGACTCTGTGGTGGAGTGGGAATGATGAGGAAGAGATTCAGATGCCAGTCTCCCATCTTTGTAAGAATGAGAAACAGAGGAGAATACAACCATGGATGAGAAGGATCTCCTCATTTGATGGCACCCTTGCAAAGTAAATTCCAAACCACCTCCAACCTATATTGGCATGAAGCGGGATACAGTGGAGGGAAGAAAGAAACTGGATGAGGAAACAATGGTGGAGACAATAGAAAACGGAAAACCAAGCCTTCGGAAATAACCTTCAAAATCCATGGATCAACTGTAAAAGGCTTCCAAATGCAGGTGAGGTGTAAGGGTCTAACCCACACTGGTCTTGACACGAGAATCAAGTCACAGATGCTGAATGCCTGGTACACAATGATGGGCAGCCCAACGATTGTGCCAAGCTGATGAATGAGAAGTCAGGGCTGGCAAATGGATAGAAGGTAGGTAGCGTGCTACTGATATAGGAACAGATATTTGGGACAAACAAGAAGCCAATGAGGATGTGGAGTGATGTAGTTGGGCTGATTCAACCCTGGACTCCAAATTGTTGGGAAGACCCAAATCACACAAAGAAGAATCAGGTAAACAAACCCTTAATAACAGATATCATAAGACAAAGGAAAAAAATTTGAGGTTGGAAAAAGAAAACCAAAGAATTAGGGTCTAAACCCCACAAAGGAATAAGAGTTTCCAAAAGTTGTGAGCCTAAACAGGGGTAATTGGCATAAGGAAAAGAAAAAGCAAAAGCGTGATCATCTGGTGTATGAGGGCGAAGAGGCAAACTGACCCTCCGCTCTCAACTATTCCCTAAATTGACTAGCATGAATCCCAATATCCAGTGAAGGTGGAAAAACCAGATATTGACCCAAAGATTTTTCCCCAAGGAGGGTAAGGGTAGAATCATAGGAAACAGGAGACAATGGAAAAATTGAACATTCCTGATCAATCAAGTCAACAAAAGGAGGAGGAGGCCTGGGCAAATCCCCCATTATGACAAGTGATTGAGAAGTGTATTCTGGAGGGGGAAAAAGGTTGCCCAAATTTTCATCCTCCCTGTCAGACACAACAAACATTGGTATGACAGGATTCTCCTGAGATGGTGGTGAATTTTGCATGAAATTAGACAATTCTCTATGGATATTAGTAGTCAGGTCATTTGCCAATAACAGTGGGACTGATCCTGAAGATATGGTCAGTAATCCCACTCGTGCAGAAACAGTAGTGGTAATAGTAACCACCTGAAACTGTGAGTACATACTTACAAAGTATAAACTTAAACAAAAGAAACAAAAGGTATCTTAAAAAAAAAGACCTAAAAAAATTACAAAATTCTCAAGGGAAAATAAACATGTCTAAACAGTAGGAGAAGTGATCAACAGGTGCATTATTAGAGAGGACACTAGTTACGACAGGGGTACTGTTGCACTCCTATTGGTAGAGGGAAGCTGCATGATCATTTGCATGTAGATATGCAGAAGGAAATGGGAATTACAAGGCTAGTGGCAAACAAAAAATTTGCTTCGATAGAGGGCAGTACTAATCGAGAAAACTTTTTTTGAGAGGAGGTAAGATATCGTATCAGCAATAATCATTTAAGGCATGTGGCACATCAATGTCTAAGAGTCTTACAGAAGTATATGGACCTTATATAATTATGAAATCTGAAAATCAAGGGATGTTAATGGTATGTTTCACTACACAGTTATGGATATAGTCAAACCTGAATTAAAACATAAGTTAGGTTACAATGTTTTTGGTATACACAAAAAATAATTGAAATTCAAATAAATGTTCAAAGTTATGGATAGACTAAATAAACTTATTTTTAGCATAAATGAAGTAACCTGGAATATATTTCTAAAACAAGTTCATAAAATTACTAAATTAATTAATTTGCATGAAATAAAATTTCAAATTTTATATGAAATAGCTGTAAAACTTAAGTACATGCTGAACTATATAATACAGGGTGGTTGCCTCTTGGAATGATTTACCTTAAAATATGGTTATTGCATTAAATTTAACACAGTTTAATGGAATGTTTAATATATATATAATTGAATGATAAGAGCTGCCTTTGAGGGAATTTTTATATTAATATAATTAGAATTTAGTTTAGTTTAGTGGATAGGACAGCCTTGATGTTGTTGATTTTTAATATTATGTTAACATTAATAAGATGTTAGAAATTATTATTTGTTAAGGTACAAACCTCCTCTGTAACTGCTTCTCTTTTATCTACGTAAGCTCCAATTAAATTGCTGAGGATGTCTTGGAATTTCTATAACAAAACAAGACACTGATTTCATGACTATCATGAACTTCATAATACAATATTCAGTTTAATATTTCTTATTCAAAAATTTCCTTTTGTAAAAACAAAATTTTTCATGTATATAATGATTTATTTTTAAGCTTTTTATTCTTTCTAAGTCATGAAAAATGCATATGAAATTTACAAATGTTGGGGCAGAATTATAAAACGTCAGAGTTAAATTTACATTAAGTGGGCTGCCTCATAATTGACCTTACACAAAGGTTTGCTAGAGATAAAATATGATAAAGAAGGAGCAAGATAGTGACAAAATATAGAAAGCTTACATAAGTATTAACAAGGTCATTCTGACTTATATTCTTGCTTATTCCTGGTTCAACAGCTGTTTTTTTCATCACCATTCGCACTATATCTGCCATTATTTCCATATCTTCTTGAACTTTCTGCTGCTTTTCTAACTGATTTTCACTGTTACTCGATGAGCTACTTGATCCTCCTGAAGACTGATCCTGACTTCCACCATCTAGCAAAGACAGTTATCATTTCAGGCAAATTTTCTACATTTATTTGATTACTTTTTTTATTGGGTGAAATAAACAATTGTTTGTAAAAATAGTATTCTGTGTGACAGACACATTTTTCAGTGCCTAGTTATTGCTCATATATATATATATATATAACATTGATAAGTGTTGAGGCTAGAGAAATATGAAGCTTTTCCATCATCAGAATATTAATGAATTTGACTTGACTCTGAAGTTAATGCTTTATCAACTGAGTTAACCACAACTTTAAGTCCCATCAAGCAGCTAGTTCCCATCCTGTTAAATAATTCTTTCAGTCAAAAAAAAGACTCACCTTTGATCCTAAAATATGATATAATATAATCCAGGATCTCAGGCTTCTAACACATTTTACTCTGACTATTCTCCAGTCAACTACTCAATCACTCACACACACACACACTGAGTACTCTGTGGTTAAGTGCTGAGCTAAGCATGCACACAGATTATCTACTTTACAATCTTCTCATCTTTAATGATGCTCACTGATGAAATTACCACCATTCACCATTATCACATATCAAGATGTTAACAAATCTGTCCTGATGAGCTTGAATCTAGGACCTTTAGTTCACATCCATGCTCTGAGTCTCATGACCTATGAACTTAGGATCCAGGATTCAAGTCCTAAACAGATAACCCTCATTCTGACCATTACAATATTGATTAACAATCTGAGAACTATATATTGTCTTTACCTTCTGACAGTTCATTAGCATTTTTATCTATTGTTGCTGATACGTCTGTGAGAAGTTTAACTGAATCATCATAAACTTGCATGTCATTCAGGTCCACAGTTTCCTGGAAAAGATGAATATCTCAAAAATTTGAAGAGAAATTTAATGTCATACTTTATTTTTTATTTAAAACACATCTAGTTTAAAGAATGAAATACAGAAAAAACTTACTGGTTAGTGTAAAAAACAAAACAAAGTGCTAAATCAGAGTACTGGTGTCTCTAGAACAAACAAACAAAACCAGAAGCACAATGTGGCCAAAAAAATTCTGAAACATTTTTAATCAAATATAAAAAATACTGAAATAAAGAAAAAACTGAACAAATTTTTAGATGGAAAATATAGTTCTAGTTTATGATCTTCTTTCACTAAGAAATGATGCTTTTTCAAAAAAACAGTATTCCTCTTTGTCCCTTTTAATTGTTTGTTGACTTTCTTTTCATAATATTATCCTTCCTTTTTTACAGCATTATGGTTTTTATTTCTTTAGAATGCCCTAAAATGTTCTTTACCCTGTTTGTGTTTATCATTTTATTTCATTGTGCTAGATACATCAGTTCTTTAGTACAGATCTTTTTAACTGTTTCCATCCATCAGTTTGTCAGTTTTGTATTCAAATTTTTAGATTATTTGACTAATGTATTGTAAGTGTTTAACTTCTTTGTTTTTATAAAAAGATAAAAGTGGGTAGTATAGGGTACACTATATAACAAGACAAGATCTATGCCAAACAGCAAGAACTTTATAAAAAAACTATCTTTGTTGTATTGAATACCTTACTGAAAATTGCTAATAACTTTCTAACCCAGTTTTATTGATTTAAATAAAATATTATGTTCACCATAAGAGAAGGATGATGAGAAATAACATAGGGTACTCCTAAGCATCACAGGCATTATTATGTGAGGGCATGTTTCTTCATCAGTCTTAAGGCCATAACCTCAAATGATGTCATTTTCTATATTTTGAATGGGAGTAAATCTCTAAACCATGCTATGAACACGATGTTTCTGAACTACTTTTTGTCCAAAAGGTGGTTCAACTATGATAGATACTGCTATGACACCTCTAATGGATCTACAAAATTTGTAGATTCTTTTAAGTTATGAACTCCTGGTAAATAGGTAAGATATTACACAGCTGTATGTTTTTTAAGTTAAATTTTGCCATTTATTCTACAGTAGGTCAGTTAGTGAAAAAAGGTTCCTATATCACTGACATGAACATCTAGACTAATTCTATCAGTTTTTGAAAAAAGACAGTAAAGACATGCAGTGCTTAAAAGAACAGAAAATAATACATATTATATATAAATATATACAGAAATATAAGTTTTTTAAGATTTTCATTTAATTTAGATTTTTTTTACAATGTAACATGCATACAAACATTTTTTACTTACAATAGTTGTCTTTAGAGACAGTGGAATGGTTTCACATTTTAAGGGATGAGTTACAGGAATCACATGCTGTAAAAACAGACAATATCAAATATTACAATGCTAGAATAACTTCTAAGTTAAACAGTATATATCTATCAGTTTTTATTTCTAATTATTATAACTCAAAATTCTTTGTTCTAAATATTTAAATTTCATTGAATAGTTACAGTATTTTATTGAAATGTAATGACTTAGAACTAAGGATAGCACAAGTAGCAATTGTGGTCAGATATCTGGTCTTTGATATCTGATTGGAATTCAGCTATTTTTTGGACCAGAGAGTTCATATTAAAAATTTGCTGCAGGCATGAACTACAACTTCATTATAGTACAGTATTAAACTAGTAACTTTATCATAATTTTTTTAAAATTTAATAAGGATGAGTACAAGGATGTACAGTTCCACATCACTGAATGTCCATAGTAAGCCTTTTAAGAGATTCAACATATAGTTGCATGAGACAGTATTTTGTACCCCTGTTCCCCCTGGTTAAGAATGATGTTTCAATGATCTTACCATTGATGATGCTACCACTAATGTGACTGCCAGTGACATATAGTGGTAACACAGTGGGCAGGCAAAATGTTTACCTAAAACACTACCACAACTTCCACTCTCATACCTTTCTAAGAAATGCTATTGTAAGCGAGAAAGCTGAAAAATGAAATGAAACTCTGGATCTGAGAAAATGCTACTATGTTTAGAAGCTAGTAGAAAGCACCAGTGGACTAGATAGCACAATTCTTATTATGTTTGATGCACAGGAACATAGAAAAATACCCACATAATATTACAAGATAACTTGTTGATGAAAATGCTATCTGATTATCCATTTCAAAGTAAAATTAATATCAGGTTTCATCAGATGGTGTGATATTTAATCAGAATGGATATTTATTTCATCCCTATTTAGAATAATTTAGTTGATTAATTATAAAAATTGGTTTGAAGTATTTAATGAATATTGTATATTTCACTCACTTTGTAAAGTTTTGAAGCTTCAACTCTTTCAAGAGTTTTTCAAATCGAATAAAACAAATATAAAATATATGCTGTCTACCCCAATCACACGTAAGTTTTCTTTAGACTTATAGCATATGTCTAAACAAAATTATAATTTATCTTCACAATTTGAACTTAAAAATATGCTATTTGAATAAGTATTTGCCTAATTAAGACAGTATTTCTTTACAAGTAAAAGCTGTATATATATTAAATAATCTTTTGATATGATTAGATGTAAAAATCTCATTACAATTGCTTAATTATAACCAAATGTACAATAATATGAAATCTTTGATAAGATACTTACTTGTATTTTTATCTGGTTCAGAGAGGTAAGAAAAAAAAGGGAAAATTATGGATCATATATCATAACTAAGAAAACAACAATTAAAGACATAACATACATTTGAAATGTACTTTCAAACTAACTTTTAAATTCTTGTGAATAAGAACCTGTAAATGTCAAACTTTTACATTAAAAATATGGATGAGATGGATTATTATTTTTAAATGAAATTATTTTTAGAACAATACAACAGCATGTGAGAACCTTATCATAAACAACATTAAAACATTCTTAAATTTTAAATCAAACATCATTAAGATGAAGCATTAAAGATTAAATGAAATTATTTTTAGAACAATACAACAGCATGTGAGAACCTTATCATAAACAACATTAAAACATTCTTAAATTTTAAATCAAACATCATTAAGATGAAGCATTAAAGTGATAATTTATCAAAATATTTGTTTTTTATTGCTTATAGTTAAGACACTTATGCATTTGTAATAGTCTCTGTTCTTAGATTCATTCATCATTTGGAAATCACAAATACAAAATCAATATTAGCAAGCAATGTGAACATGTATATTATATGCAGTATATTTGTATGTGTTTTTAAAACATTTTGGATGATTTCTCCTTTATTTCATATAAAGTTATTAAAAAACTTGTAAACTCTTTCACACACAGTATGAGAAGTTACCACAAGCTAAAACTAGGTTAGATTTTACAAAAATGTAAATTACATCTAGGTAAAAGTAATTCTTACAGTCACATAATTCAGTAATTTTTATACCTTTTCATAAGAGATGCACAAAAAATTGTTAAGTAACCATCTGCACTAAAACCAAAATATAATGCCGTCATTTAGTCTTGTTGTATACGCTTTAATTTTTACAAAAATACATTTATAAGCCAAGTATTTGATTAATGCTTGCTATACAAATATTATTCATTAGAGCTATAAAAAGCAGTATGAAGTATATTTGGAATATGTAAAATGAACTATTACCACAGTTTACTTCACCACAACACCAATTTGAATACTTTACTGCTCTTCCTATAAATCCTTACAGTGTAACAGAAACTCTGAAAGGTAAGATTATTGGTTTTATTCTGGTTTACTATGAAAAAGATCAATGGCTAAATAAAAATTCCAAACCAGGAGCAAGTAATTATGTTTTAACTGCAATAGCTACTAATTTCAACCTCTTATAACTAGTATAGAACACATGCGAAGCCAGACATATTCATATAATTTTTCTAAATTTTTGTTCGTGTGTTCTGCATGTAATTATGACATAGTTGTTCACTGGATGTCAAAAGGTCATACATCTGTATTAATTATTTTACTTAATTAGGTAAATATTACATACAGCAATGGCTAGAAGCTTCTGTTCATGTGTCTACTCCCTGTGATGTAAATAGTTTTGGATTACGGTATACTATACTTGGACCTTTTGTCTGATTTTCAAGTTCAGAATAACATAATTCTTTCTATTTCTGTTTATCTGTTCATTTGTTTTTTTTATTTCCATTTGATGTCTGTGTTCAATTTATTCTTTACATAAGTTTTCCTGAATCTGCACTTTTAGTTTTACAGAAACTTTTGGCTACTTATTGTATATTAGTGTACCTGAATATCAGAGCTGTATCCAACAGATTAGAGCCTGTTGATGAGGGTAGGAAGGAAAGAATTTTGCAGGTTTTTCTATTAGACGATTCCCTAATTAAGTACACTAAAAGGTTAGGTTTGTTTGTACTGGAATTAAAAAAAAAACAACACAACTAAATTATTTTTTTCTGAGTGCTAAAGCTCAAAACATTGTGTAGAAGACATATAGTTAAGTGTTAGAAAAAATAAAGCAGAGAATGTTTTTGTTGAATATATTGGAACTAATGGTTATTGTAACAGAAGGCTTGATGAGTTATTGATCAAGCATAAAAGATTACTTTGAAGTTTTAAGACAGAAAAATCACAGAACAGCTCTTTAAACATTTTTCAACATGTTTAGTGAAGTAAGAAATACTGAGCAAAGGTACGAGGATATAATAATCAATTATTAATAATATGTCTATATGAGCAGGCTTGAGCTAGGTAAATCTGTAGGACAGGTTTATAAGTAATATAGACGTGATGGACTGCTTCATATAAGCAGCTTGGAAAATTTGATATCTTTAAAAAAGTTCTGTTTACAATAACTTTAAAAATGTGGAAAGCCTCTTGGCTTTGAGATGATTATGCATTGGTATTAGATAGTTATACTAAAACTTAAGAAAAAATGAATCTTACTTTATGGTATACTTAGTTGTGAAAAGTTATTTTACTTGTTAGAAGTGAGCTAAAAAGTTTGTAATAAGAGTGATATTTTAGAGATCTATGAAATAAAATTTGCTGAAAATTAATGTATTTCTTCCAAAGATATCTTGAATTCCAACCAAAATTCCATTATAACATTAATAAATAACAAAAAATTGGCCCTTCTCATTCAAGAGATTACAACTCTGCTTAATAGCTACCGTAATATCCTGAATATAACACACATTTTTTTCACTAAAAGTTTACCTGGAAGTTACTTAGTTAGGGTGCATATACTGTATAGTAACAAATCTAAATCTTTTTTTTTTTTAGGCAGTCCAGATAATCCTTTTTGATGGTGTTTGTTTGTTTTGAAGTTAAGCCCAAAACTACACAGTATCAAAACTCAGTTTCTAGTGTTTTAAAGTGCACAGACATACCACTGTGCCACTGGAGGGCTTTTTGAGGGTGTCTTATGAATTTTCTCTGTTTCTAAGGGGAAGATTAGAACTGTCTCCCAGTTTTGTTCATTCTCAGTATCCTTAAAGACGATTTTTCAAATAAATTGATCAAGAAGCTAAGTCTTATGATTTTTAAGATTTACTTCCATGCACACAGGGGTGTCGCTAGGTGCTAACACAGGAACTTTAGAGATACAAGTTCTTTCTTAAATAAAACCAGTTTATTCTTTCTCAATACAACTTTGCAATACACTTAATTTCCACAGTCACTTTAATTTAAACACACACTATAACTCACAACGATTCACGCACTTTACTTACAGTCACTACCGTGCTTGACTCAATTGTCTGTCTCTATGTCTTCAATCTCTCTATCTGCAACTATATTTGCTGTCACTTTTTGCCGGTCTTATATATACAAAATAGAGGGCGTATGGCAAACACTCGAGCCTTCGGGAACCTTCGAGATACTCATTACGTGTTACCAGAGTCACGTGACTTCCGCTGTTGTAATAGTATATTAACAGAATTTTGTCCCATAATATTTGGCGGTGATACCATTTTGTTGACGATGAGACGTTAGAGAAGTTGCGCCAACTATTTGAGGAAAGTTATTCGTACTCAAAATCTGAAAGTTTTACTGAAAACGATTTGTAATTTTGAATATCAGATGTAAGTTGGTGATAAATAATTGTGTACTTCCAAACATTTCTAATTGTGCATGCAGAGGTGTTGCTAGGTGCTGAAAAGATTCATGGCTCGGGTCTATACGCACGGGAAATATCAGCATTTCAGTATGATATCTATCATGGTTTATTTATTCCTCATGTAGTATTTAAATTGATATTCTCCTGAAACAGCTACCATCTAATCTCCTAGGTCTATAAGACCTAAATACGTATTATGAGAAAATGCAAACACTATTCTGATTTTTCAAAACACCAACTGGAGATTCGGGGCACAGGCACCGTTTCCGAAAAAATTTTTACGGAAAATTAACAAACGAACAGAGACGTAACAAATTAGTCTTAGAAGTGGGATAGAAAATAAATAAGTAAATAAAAATATTCCAAGAAGATGGAAACAAGAGGTGGCAAATCAAACTACAGCTTAGCAGATTTGATGGCAGCAATACAAGAACAGGAAAAGAAAGAAGAAGAACAAGAAAAGAAACAAGAAGAGAGATTACAGCAGTTGTTGGAAGAAAAAGAAAAGAAACAAGAAGAGAGATTACAGCAGTTGTTCAAGGAAAAAGAAAAGAAACAAAAAGAGAGGCAACAGCAGTGGCAAGAAAACCTGCAACAGTGGCAGCTCGAATAGCAAAATAACAAGAGAGATTACAGCAGTTGTTGGAGGAAAAAGAAAATGAACAAGAAAAAAGTCTCCAACAATTGAGAGAAAGCCAGCACACGTAAATGAAAAAGATTAGTAAATTTCAAAGTGATTTAAATACTTCAAAGGATGATTTACTGTCTTTTACATAAGGAGGATACATTAACCATCGACCTAATTAGCCTCAGACAACAGCAAGCCCTTTCCAGACCCTGCAGCTAAACCCTAATGCAGACATCTTCAGTT